GTCTCTCCCCCTCTCGCTCTCTCTCTCTCTCTATGTCTCTCCCCCTCTCGCTCTCTCTCTCTCTATGTCTCTCTATGTCTCTCCCCCCCTCTCTCTCTCTGGTGACTGGAGGTCTCAGGGACATTAAAGGACATGTCAGGGGTTGGTTGGATTCTCTGCTCATTGATTGGCTGCTGCCCAACAACCGGTTCGTCACTTGTCTCCGCCCCCTACAAGTTAACTTTGGTCAACCTGTACATAGCAGGAAAAGACTTTCAAAATAAAATCAAAGGGAAATGAATGTTTCAGCACTAAAGACAGTGTAAAACTTTAACATTATTATGGTGGCCCTTAGGCTCAAAATACACCAACACAAAACAAAGCTATATTATTTCCTTCCCCTGATAACAACCACGGGTTTTTAAAGCGTTTGCAAATCAGCCGGAGCAAATTTCAAGACTCAATCGAATCCACTGGCAGTTTCTCAGAACAGCTTTTATTTTGAAACTCGTTCCAGGAAAGTAATGACTCCGACAGCGGCGCTGTTATGGGAATCGAACACAAGGTTAGCACTTGATGCTAACACATCAGCAGTGAGAGGGACCCTGTGTTATCCTGCTGCACATCGCTGCTGTCTGTGTTATGAGAAGAGGACACTTGCTGTCTGAGGACCGCGGTGAGGACATTGTTTTATTATCTTTATTACATTATCCGCGCTGCTAATGCTAGCTTGCTACCGCCACGGCGCTGGTAAAGTTAGCTAGCTTAATCTGTTAGCTAGCGTGTGTAGGCAGCGGGTGTCCGCTCCATAAAATGCAAATACGTGTCTGTAGTTGTGTGTGTATGTTGTGATTGCGTGCTAGCATCACGTGTCTGTGCTAACTTCTGTCACTCGCAGTTAGCTAACTGGACACCACTTCCCCTAAATGTCACTGTTGCCTTAAAAGTTGTGCGCGTGCAGTTATGAGATCAACACAAACCTCCCAGCGTGATCTAAGTGTAAAGTTGTGACTGTACACTTTACCTGCACGGTAACAGCTGTGTTTGCCTTCTTTGACCCCTCTCTGTCCTCTCCCTGTCCTCTCTGTCCCCTCTCTGTCCCCTCTCTGTCTCCCTGCGTGTCTCCAGAATGAGCACTATGGCTGCAGCCCCTCCACTCAGAAGGACAGACTCCGCTCGGGGGGAGTTCTCTCCCCTCAAGCACTTTGTTGTTGCCAAGAAGAAGATCAGCGATGTGTTTCAGCAGCTGCTCGATTACGTGAAAGAGACCTCAGAGTTTGTGGAAGGTGAGAGGGTTAATCTGTTTGGTATTTGCCAGGTCTGTCATCATCTGTCAGGCAGCTCTCGCAGTGTGCATGGATGATAGTGGAGGTGTTGTGTGTGTTCAACAGAAACTTGTGGGAACAAAGCTTTGAAGAACATCGCCAGTGAGGATCAAAAGTTGGAGATCCAGGCATATGCTGACAAACTTGCCATTATTAAGGAGGTGTTGGCCCGCAGACACATGAAAGTGGCATTTTTTGGCAGGTAATTGCTTCTGCGTGTTTTTAGAAAGAATGTGATCTTTGATGCTTTTCAGATGCGATTCTAAAACTGTCTTTTTAATAAGAGTTCCATTTATATACACTTCACTTGTGTGGCTGTTAAGCTTTCACTTTTATTTTCCATTAATTTGCTAGTATAATGAAAGTAACATGGTTTCTTCACCTCATTCACTTTCTATTGTTAGAACCCGTTCTGCATGATTGAGTTTAATCTGATGTTAACTGAGCTGTGCTGTACTTGACAGAAAGTCAGAGGGTGTGACTGAGAAAACCTGAGAGATTTCATTCAACTAGAAAAGTATTCAGAGAACACATACCTCTGCCAAGGCCCAACAATCCTCTTATGAAACCACATTTAAATTCATTAGATCCAGAATTTTATTTGGATCTGCAAGATGTTTGGAGAAATCACTGGCAATGTTGTAAAATGCCCGATCTCTCAAAAATCCTGGATCCGCCCCTTATCCAGATCTGCACCAAGATGTCATATGTTCTCCCTTGAGCCATACTGCTTACTTCCATAAAGTTTCGTGGTAATCTCAAGTAGTTCCATACAATTTTCAACCATCTAACCCCTCTAACCCATTAAACCTAAGGCCTGATCATTTGTTCATGAATCAATATAAGTAAATATGATCTGTGGCTGTTTTGTCTGTTCATAGGACAAGTAATGGTAAAAGCACAGTGGTCAACGCCATGCTGAGGGACCGCGTGCTGCCCAGCGGTATTGGCCACACCACTAACTGCTTCCTGAGTGTGGAGGGCACAGATGAAGACAAGGCTTACCTCAAGACAGAGGGCTCTGATGAGGAGAAGAGCATCAAGGTAAATATTATTTAGATTTTTTAAATTTCAGTACCTGGGACAACTTGTCCTCAGCTACTGAAAACTACTGGATGCCTCTTTTGGGGGGGTGTGAGGACAAGATTTAACACACAAACACACACACACACACACACACACACACACACACACACACACACACACACACACACACACACACACACACACACAC